TTCCCCTTATGTGTTTGTTATAAGAATGAATCTCATCTATTCAACAGAGTAAAGCCAAATAAATTAGCTAGTAAAAAAAAGCATGGGATAACACTTCAATGGGTACCTCAAGGGATGCAGTTAGAAATGAGGCCTAACAAACTTTCTCAACAAATTCATCAGCCCGCCACAGTCTTTCATAACCAAAAATTGTTTAAAATAGAAAAGTCATGAAGCAGCTACCATGTAGCGTAGGTATTGGAGTTTTAACTGAAACTATGATAAACAATGATAAAACAAGCATAAAGGGATTGGAGCCTGAAAATGGTACCATTCATGTAAGATGCACGGAAGAGTTCCTAGATGACAAATAAAATCATGATAGTCACTCAATCACTTTTGACAGATTGAACAAGTAGCAAATTCTGCTTGTCTAAGCTTCAGTATGCTGACCAACGTATGCATGTACTAACTCAAGACAGAAAGCATAAAGATAGGCTAAGAATGCCATATGCCAGTACTTTTTAGTTATGACTTTCGATTTATTCCAGCAGATTACAATAATCACTCTTCAACTTCACCACTTGACAATCCACTAGGAAAAACTGTAAGGCAACAGAAATCATGAACATGCAATATGCAAACCAACATAATACAGAATGGGCATATTAAAAAAATCCTCGAGGTTGATAAACTGAATAATGGAAAACTATCAAAATTACATCAAATATCTGGCAAGAAAATCATGAAATGGGAGACTATATGGAAATGCAGCTCAAATAATTTGCTATTCATAGGTAATAACAAGGTTTTAAATATCGGATGTCGGGTTCATGTCGGACGGCCGAAATCCATGTCGGATAGCGGAAATCGGGGATATATCGGGGGACATGAACTAAATATCGGATTGCGATATCGGGTAGTGCATATATGTATAATACCACGTCCTAAATGTAATCTAAGCATTTCTAAATTCAATATAAGCATACTTTGATTCTCGATTGCATCCTGAAACAATTTTGGTCTTTGATATGCTAAACGGTCTTCGATATGAAACTAATCATTCGATTTAACAAAGAGAAGTGCCCAAGTCCTGAAACTTCAACCACCAAGCCAACCTGGGACAGTTTTGTAATTTGACTGTTAAGAAAAAATAGCTTTAAACCGATATAATAGCATATCGGCCGATTTTTCAAACCTGAAAAATCGGCCGATATGGCCGATATTGCGCCGATTTATCCGATATTCTCCCCAAAAACGACATCCGACTTAAGAAAGCCCGACTTGTGTCGCTGGCACCTTCAACCCGACATGTCGGCCGACATGTCCGACATGTCGGCCGACATTTAAAACACTGGGTAATAATCAAATGGAAAAAGGTACTGGATCATATGAATCAACTTAATATGCGAATCAACAAAAGATTTTCTAAACAAAAGCAAAAGTCTTTACAATGTAACCCATTCAAAATTTTGAAATAATCAACTTCTAAAGGAGGAAAACATAAGTAAACAAATTTTTTTGGAATCAAACCCAAGAGGGAGCCATATTGGAACCTCCCAACCGTCCGGGTCACTCGAGGTGAGTTAAACAAACTAACAGTACATTGAGAATGCATTATTCACCAATATTTCAAATAAAAACATTTGAATCAACTGGGCTTCTCGTAGAATGAGAGGTCATTGGTTACCTTGGTAAGAAGCTTAACAACTTCTTGGGCTGAGATTCTAAGTGAGGCAGAGCACACAACAAGAGTCACAGAGATTGAATATATTATGATTCACTGAAAATTATCTAATTATCAGATAAGGTTCAACTTACTAAAGTTAGGGGGGGGGACCCTGCAAAGTACAGAAAGATGCATCTGAAATCAAACAATTCCTGAAAAAGAGAAACCATTAGTATCTGACAGGTTACCAGCTTCATTTTCACTTTCATCAGCTTCTTCCTCGTTCTCATACTCAAGGTCGCCAATTTCTTCTAGCTCATCTGGAGATATCTCGATTTTATCAACATCAATTGGCTTCAGGTCAATTTTCTCCATCTTCGCAGTGGTCTTCATTAGGTGTATATTCATCCTCACGTAAAGCAAGTCTTGCAATCTTGTGGACTCTAAGTGGTCCCTCATGCTCATCTTAGTAGCTCCTGGAGCAGTCCAATTTTTCTCTGCTGTCAAGAAACTACATGGTTGGCTCAGAACCTTGATTGCTAAATTTTGTAGAACAGGAACTGAACTGCCCCACATGTCCCACCAAATTCCTAAAATGAAACAAGAAATATAATTAGGAAATGTAAACTAATAGTAATGTGAGGTTTACAAAACACACAAAGGCATCTGAAAGAACCATTATTACTTGGATGAGATACATGAAGAGAATCAACAGCCATAAGTCCAAAGATGCGTGGATCCAAGGAATGATAATCTCTAAGCTCTTCTGCAATCTTCATCCTTTCTTCATTATTAGACACCATTTTTTGGATAACCTTTTCCAGCCCGATTCTGACACCAGAATCCAACTTCACTCGTCCATCGTGAAACAAATGAGGGTTCAAATAGGCTGCTGCTGCATGTATATCTGAATACAAGAAGTTGTTCCATTTATCATCAATAATTTTCCAGAAGTTCATATATTTAGACTCATTTCCATAAATTTCTTTTATAGTTTCTTTAGCCTTGCGTATGGCGTCATAAATGTATCCTGAGGTGGATCCTCCACGGTCAACAACCCTCAATGTCTTAATAAGAGGTTCGACAGCATACATCAACTCTTTGGCACAATCCCAAAATGAAGCATCCTCGATCATGTTTTGCACTTCTATACCTTCTGCACTTTTACATGGCATCGAGTCTCTCCATTCTATTGTACCAATAATATGACGTAAAGCATGCTCTAATTTTAGAAGTGACTGCAAATAAATGAAGTTCATCCAAAGCCTAGTTGCTGCTGGCCTTCTCAAGAGAGAGCCGTTTGTATGGGTTCTCATCAAGTTTAATACATGTTGATGCTTATACACAAAATGTATGATCCGTTTAGCAGTCTCTAGAATAGGAGAGACATGTTGAAGAGCTTCGAAGTCCTTCAACATAAGAATGATAATATGTGTTGCACAATTAACAATGAAAATGTTAGGATATTTCCCTTCAATCATGTGACCTATAGATTTGTAATGTTGAGAATGTGATATAAATTGTACCACATTTTGAGATCCAATTTCATCAATAACCGATGATATAAAATCAAACACATACTGATCATCCATCAAGCGCCCAACCATGCACAAAGACTTCAAATACACAACACCTTTTGCAGAAGCTGCAAATATGTGCAAGTATGATGTATCCCTTCCTTCTATCCATGAATTTAACATCAACGTGCAACCAGATTTTTCCCATATGCGTTCAACAGCATGAACATACTTATCAGCTTCATCCATCAACTCTGTTAACAATTTTCTGCAAGTGTTTTCACTGCTTGGAGGCTCATAACCTGGCCCAGCATTTGCAACTGCAATGCAGGCTTCCCGAAAATCTGAATTACTTAATATGTCAAATGGTAAGTTACTATTCACAATATACTTAACAATTGCCATGTCAGCTTCTTTCTTTGCTGGCATCCTTGTTGATAAATGGATGGATTTTGACTTGGGCTTGATTACCTGCGATTCATTATTATGGGCATCACCGCATTGAAGAATGGACCCCAAAGCACTATCACCTGACTGAGAGAATCTCATATTTTTGCGCTTCTTACTCTTCATCTCCAGTTCTTCTACACCTTTTAATGCAGCATCACGGACTGAGGCTGGAACAGCTTTGCAAGGGCGGATATCCTTCGAGCAAGTATTTGCAAAATGATACCTCATCCTTGTTACCCCGCCAACAAAAACTTCATGGCAGAACTTGCACCTAACCTTCCGACCATCTTGTACAATATGTTCCCAGAGAACATCTTTATTCCGAGGCATTTTTTCTTACTGCAAATCAAATAAAGGCCAATGATGAAAAATAATGATAATACATAAAATAAAGCTTGGCTCCAAGTAACATTAATGCAAAACAACACAATGCACAACATATGTTATGTGTATTATTATTTAAACATTTAATAAATCCAAAATATTCACATTGATTTTAAGAAATAGAATAAAAACAAATCAAAGATGACATCACCATTATCTAATATATCATCACAAATTTTTAAAAAAACTAAGTCAAGCCAAAAGCACAAACGCGACATGTTTTAAACAAAACATAGAAAGCAGTAATCAAATTTTTAATAAATCAAACAAAACATAGAGACTCATATCAATCAATCATGCTCCTTTAACATATTCAACTATCCTAAAACAACTAAATCATCCTCTTCTAGAACGATATTTGCATCCTCCAGATCGGCATAATCCTTAATGCCTACAACTTTTGCGGCAATTCCTATTCCTTTTCCTTTTCCTTTTTGCACTGTGGGTACTGCAGAAAGAGCTTCAGTTAAAATCTTGAAGATTCAACCTAACAAATATAGCATCAAAAGGTTTTTTAAGTAGCTCACAAGAACCATCAACTCGTTGTTTCTTTACCGCTAAAGCACCACCCTTATCTTCATTTTAGATACCTATATTATTAATGGCAGCAACATCAAGATACTCCCTATCTCCATCATCACCATCTGGCCAATTCGGATCATCTTGAGAACAAGGTTCTTCATCCTCTACTATCGACTCATTGTCTGAAGTTACCTCCAAAGAAATCGGATTCATCATTCCCGCCTTCCTTCGCATATTTCTCTCTCTCAATTTAATGTTGTGCATGACATAAACAAGAGAGTTAAGACGTTTCTTCTCTAGACGACATCTCTTATTTGAGTGGAGCTTCAAGAAAAAATAGCAACTTGTAAGCTTCCAAGCCTAAAGGATATTAAGCTAACTTTTAAACTCAAAATTTTCCTTACTTGCTCAAACTTGCTCCAGTTGTGCTTACATCTGGATCCACTAGTAGTAAGGGAGAGAACACGAACAACAAATCGTTGTAGTTTGGGAGTGTCCTCACCAAATCTCTCCCAACAAGAAGCTACACATTTAGATATCGAAGATTAACATAACAGAACATCAAAATTGTACATTACATATCAAATTAAAAATTGTTGAAACCAAAACTTGGACTACGAAAAGCAATAGTCCTCTGAGCTGACTCAGACCCAAACTCTCCAATCCCCTCCTTGTAAGAATCCAACCCCACATCAGCCTGTGCTCTCATGTTGATGTCCGGGATCATGCGAGCCATGCACTCGTAAAGTCCTTTCTTCACCTTCAAATGCTTGCTAAGATTCTTCCCATAAAAGTATTTGGGATTAAGGTAGTAAGCAACATCATGGGTAGGTCGATACAACATCCCGGACCATCTCTTATCAACCAAATTCCAATAAGGCATATATCTCATCTTTATCCCACCGCAAGACTCTGCAATCTTCTCTTTTGCACTATCTATCGTCTCATACAAAAATGGCATGGTGGGCTTCACATCTGAATCTAGTTCATCGAGGACATAAACTATCGGAAGTGTAGTAGTGAAACAAAACATCACGCGTCCCCAAAACACTTTGGAGTAAAGAACTGTCTCCTTTGCCTTCACTCCATTCGGCTTCTTTGTCCAATTACTTTTAAGAAACTCTTTAGAAGAGAACATGTTTCCTCAAACGTTGCTTTAATGAATAGAATCTCCGTAATGTCAGAAAAGAAGTAGCGAAACAAGTTACAGCAGGTATTGGTAGCTCCTTCCCAACTGTATACTTCCTCATAAGACTCAACACCCAACAGTTGTTATAAATGAACCGTGTGACCTTTTTTGCCTCTCCAAGAGTCTCACGGTATATTTTCATCTTCCTGATGTCCTCTAACATGAATTCTATACAATGTGTTGCACAAGGTGTCCAATATAGTGACTTTCTCACGTCCATAAGCTTTCTCCCGGCGTTCACATAAGATGAGTGGTTATCAGTGAGGACTTGAGCACATTTTTCTCACCAATCTCCTCCACCATACTATCAAGACACAGAAATAAATAGTCATCGCTCTTAATAGACGTTGATGCATCAATAGACTTATAGAAGTTCTCCTCTGGCGAATTAACAAAAAAATTAATCACACTCTTGTCCTTTCTATTTGACCATCTGTCCACCACAAGAGTGCACCCATATGTTTCCCAAGCCACCATATGGGTTGCCTTAATGACATCTATTTCTTCTACCTCGTTTTTTAAAACTCGTGTCCTTATCTCATAAGAAGAAGGTTGCTTAAGTCCCGCCCCAAACTTTCTGACCTCCTCTATCATTTCTCTCCAATATGAATTGTTGAAGATATTGAATTGATAGCCCATTAGCATATATGCAACGGGCAATCTTTTTCAACACAACTTCTCTTTGTTCTTTTTCGGACATGTTCTCTGCTTGTTTAGCTTGAATGTTAACAAGTTGATCCAATGGACTATATGCACGAGATTGTTGGCTACTACCCTCAGGTTTGCTTTTCATGCCTAGGCTTAAAAACTCTTTATTTCTCTGATCTTCCATCCTACCAATTGACTTAACCAATGCAGCTTTCTTCTCTTTCTTTCGCTCCATTTCCTTGAGAATATTGAAGCAAGACTTCTTAACTGCTTCCGAAACTTTTTCACATTTCTTCACCCCTTTCCGGGTACAGGCTAAGTGATACTTTAGTCGTGTTACACCTGCTGTTATATGATGGTTACAATACTTGCAATAGAGATTTTGTAGCTCCCCCTCCCTCCAAACTGCATGCTCTCTTACAGGATCAGAATTCTTATACATGATTGAAGACTATTCTACACAATCACAATAACAAATCAAACCACATCAATTAAACTACGAAAGCTAAACCATACAAGTTACATTTAAAACCAACCTTCCCTAACCCTCAAATGAAAGAATGGAAGCATATATCAGAAGGATCAAAAGGACTAATAAATCAAAAGAACAATCTTGATCAAATTTATCGATCAAATTTTTTTAAATAGACAATGACTTAGATGTGTGCCATGTCAAGGACACTCTTTAACTCAATAGAGGAACACATCAGCCCCTATTTAATCATATA